GGATATCTGCCCTGCCTCTAGGCAATCACAAGGTCACTTTAAGCCCTAATTTTCTAAGATTAAGCTCAAGTTAGCTACAATGCTGAATTGATTTGTAGCAGTAGTGGATTAAGTTTGACACAGAGTGCTTGCCCACCTTGCTCTTCCTGTGTCCCAGAAATAAGCTTTGTGCCTTTTGATAGAAGGGAGGCTGAGTACTCATAGTCTCCTCTTGAGCATGGGTTTGGGGGGGGTTTCATGATGAAGCCTGCTGTAGGATCTGTGTTAGTGTGTGTTAGGCACCAAGCAGCTTTGAGCTGAGTGAGAGAAGGATGTTCAGTATCTCGGGCTGAGCTCTATGACAGAGGACAGTCACATCACCTGATATGCAGCCTCAGCCACCTGATGTGTTGGATGCCACAGCAGTAATGCTTCCATGAAAATGCAGGGAGTCTAGAATAGTTCTTTCTCGAGTTTAAGTGAAGGGCAGGTGGACACTTAGAATCTCAGCTGGTGTGTGGAATGGCACACATAGGTTGGTTGTAGGACAAATATGCTTTTGGGCCATTGGAGAGACCAGAACTGCTCATATCCATTTACAAAGTTAGGCAGCCTGCCCCAGCCAAATTACACTGCTGTAGTTCTCTGTATTATGTTCTTTTTTTTTCTTTCTGTTCTAGGATATAGAGAGATGTTGTGACCTCAGGAAGAGCTGTTTGTGCAAATTACCAGGCAGATCCTTGGTATATACATTCCAAGGATTCATAACTCAGGCAGAAAAAAAAATACATCATCAAACTGCTCAAAGGAACTTGTTTAGGGTGGCAATTTCCTTGCCGTATTTCAACTCTGTCTCTAGCTATTCAAGCTGTCTAAAATAAATCACTATTTTTTTTTCTTGTATTTTCCTAACAATGAGGGAAGTTAGATCAGTTTAACTTGTTTGAATTCTCTTTTCCATTAAAACCAAATAAACTGTCTGCTTTTGCTGGCAACTGTACCTTAAGTCCTGGACACACAAAATGTTTCAACGGGGTTGAAGAAGCATTTGAACTGGGAGAAGCCAAATAGCCAAACTGTCTATCTGCCACTGGAATGCAATGCAGGCTGTTTACACAAACCAAGCCTCACGTTAAAGAACTTGAGTAAGAGGTGAGAGCCATTCCTTCCTCTGGAAGCTTTCATCCCTCATCGGAGGGGTGCTCCTCATTCCGGACAATGGTGAATCCACCAAAAATCAACAGTTGTGCTTTTTCTTTTTGGCAGCAGCTAAATGTATTTGTTTTTGAAGTAGTGTTGGTGAGGAAGATGTTTTAGTATGCACGGTGTTGATGCTGTTTCAAAATTTCACCTCTGTATTCATGCTAAAGTAAGAAGTTGCATCCATGAGAGGTTGAGACTGGCTTTTTAATTACAAGCTCCAGTTGTTCTTCTTCCTCATGAGGCTTCTCAAATGAAATAAAGGCACTACTTAGGAGTGGGAGACCAAAGGATGTTTCTGAGCTAAAAGGCATGCAGAATAGAATTGGCTTGTCACCAACTTGCACTGAATTTGACAAATGAAATTTCATTAGAAGTGCAGGGGTTGTGAAACTGCCAGTAAATAACTGTCTCCCCAGAGTCTCACACATTTTCCAGAGTCTATTTTTTCTTTGGACTCCATTGTGTCAGCAACAGTATTTTAAAAGCAAGAAATGGAGTAAAAGGTTAGAGGTAAAATTTAGTAGATAGTAAAGGTCAAAAGCATTTTATTTTCCCAGGAGCTACTGGAACTTAAGCAATTATTTTATCTTCTCTTTCTCTCTCTTTCACTTTCTTTTGCAGTTGTTACCATAAATAGGCCCAAGCCAAGGCCATGAACCTAAACAAACTCAGAGATGGTTCCAGAATTTAGTTTTGTAGCTGATTGCTTTCTATGCAATGGACCACAGCAAAACCAAAACCTCGTTCCATCCTTGTTCTCCATCCCCATTCTCTGAACAGATGTGGAACTGTGTCAGACCCAGACCTGAACTTCAAGGCTGATGACCTTCTCTTATCATCATCATCATCATCCTTCAACAATTCAAAATATAATCTAAGCCCATGTTATAGCACCAAGATGGGAGGTCCAGTGATAGATGCAAAGTGAGAGAACACAGCTTCCCCTCAGTTGCAGGGTCTGTATCACCTGTGTCTGAAGTAAATAGCAGCATCTCCAAATGGAGAGTTGTGTTAGAGGAGATGGAGGTACTCATTTTCTGGTTTCCCTTTGAAGACTTCAAGAACGTGAGAGTGTGTGTTTTTGGCTAAATGCATACCTTCTGCTGTTAGAAGGACAGAGCTGGGATTTCAGCTCTGTAATTTCATGGAAAAAAAAACAAATAAAATTACTGGGAAACAAATCCAGCATATCGATGCGTCTGCTGGTAATATCAGCACACTACTTTGCTGCCTTCTCTTAACAGTCTGTATTCCATTCATTGCTGTTGTAAACAGAAGTCACTGCACTTGTATTTTACAGGAGCTTAATTTATGTTATAGGGAGAAGAGAGCCACACTTTGCTCTTCCAAGTTTCCTAAAGCTGCAAGTGCTTGCAGAACTGATGTAGAGTGTATTTCTAGTGTAGATGAAGTTGGACAACTCAGTTTCTTGGTATAATTTCTATTTTCTGGAATCTTAATTAGAACTTTCAAAGAACACTGATAACCCAGCTGTCTTGCCTCTGCTCTCAGTGTAAGGTAATCCTTGATGACCTTCTGCAAATCCCTCTTAATTAGCTTTTTTCCCAGGGTGTGCTATTCCATTTGATGATTAATGCATTAATCTTACTGTATTTGCAGCTGCTTCTTTTAAAGATGGAATTTTATTATGAAGTTTTAAGTCACAGAAATCTACAGTAAAATTTCACCCTTAGGAAAGTCTAGCCTTGCTTTTTTGGGGGGAAAGTGAATCTAAACTAAAAGCTTGCAGATAATATTGCACAAAACAGCACTCATACACAATGTGCTGCCAGCAGTTCTGCTGCTTAAAGGTAAGTCTCTCTCTCTCCTGCAGTCTGAATCAACAAGTTGATCACAATGCTATTGAACAAGTTGGCAATTGCCATACCACTGTACTGCTCACACTGGAGGCAGTGCCAATGTAATTAACATTACCAAGGTGTGGGGTTGTAGCATCAGATATATTCCTTATTATTGACGACTGAGAATTAATTTATGCTGTTTACAACTGAGAAATAATACAGAGCAATTAACACAAGAAAAAAATTTCCAATTATAGCACTCAATATTTATCATGATATTTGATAGAAAAGAGCTATGTGAATGTAAAATCAGGGTGATCTTGCTGAGTTTGCTATGTCCTGCTCGTTACCTGTTGTAAATTTGATCAGTATTTGGATCTCAAATGACGCTGGGGAGAATTCAGAGTATGAGACTTAGTTAAAATATTGCAATCCTTACCAGGCACTAACTATATCAGCTGCTATGCGTGCTACTAAATGAAGTCTTCTGCAACTGGTATCAAAATATTTTTCCTGAATCTTCTGTTTGAGGGGAAAAAAAAAAACAAACAGGAAAATGCACTTTTGCTATCATCAGCATTCTGAATGACCCGAGGGCTGATGGTGGGAAAGATGGCAAGGGTCAGGGTGAGCAACTGGTCACAGGGTGCCTGGGGATCCTAAAAAGAGGAGCTATCAATGGGTTTATCTGCCCTGGTGGTAATGTGGGCACCAGCAAGTGTCTGAGGGCTTATAGCTATCCATTCCTAGGTGGAGGTTAGGGACAAACTTTCCCTCTGGAGAAACTGATGGGTTATTTGTGACTGAGTTGGGCAGCTGGTTTTGATGGAAAACTCCGGACTAGATTTTGGAAGAAGTACAGTGATTCCTGTGTGCTTCAGCTGCCGCGCTGCATAGAGAAGCTCTGTCAGATGGTGAAAACACTGGGTGAAAGATCTACCAGTACTTTCTTATGATAGCTGTATATATACCATACAGTTAAATGCAGACAATTGGTTCCTAGGAGGCTCTACAAGCACTGTCATTTGCAGATATCATTGTAAACTCAGGATGCTTTGCAGCATGGCAACCTGGGCCCTTGAGCTGGGAGGACACCTTTGCTTGGAACCAAAGGGAAAAAATTAGAGGGCTGTGGAATCGGATGGCAGAGAGATCTGAGAGAGTGGTTGCAGAGAAGAGTTCAGCAGTGGAGTTTTGTACTGTGGCCCACGATGTTCTGGGAGCCAGTAAAGATTTCTGAAGATGTTTGCTTGGTAGAACAGCCGCTGCTTGTTTCAGTTAGCTTGGTCTCATTTTTAATAAGCACCAGATGGAAGTTTGGGGCAGGATCTTGCACATGTCTTGGTATTAAGGCAGAAAGATAGGCCTGGCAGACTGAGCTTGCATCTCCAGGTCTATCCTGGCAATGAAGGGAGAGTGGCATTACCCACCAAATCTGTTGTTCTGTTTTGAGCACCCTTTTGTGTTTTGCTTGGGAGACTTGAAACATAAAATGTCCCTCTAGATGCCTTGCTGTTGGTCTCTGTTCAGTGTTGCTGAGGTCTTCTTTTGAAAGCAGTTGAGAATAATCAAATATCCATTGCCAGTAGCGGGTAGCTTTTCTACTAAGTGATAGTTAAAACATGTCAGCAGTCCTTGATTGATAGCAGACAAACCAAGCTGCTCTCGTGTTCTCTCCACAAGTCTTTTAAGTCTTGCTGACATGCCCGGGATTTGAAAAAGCCCGAGATGAGAAGTGATAACTGCTTGTAAACACCCAGTGCTGCCACACCTTGCAGTGCCTGCAGCTTGAGGGAGCAGATCTGCCGATCTGTATCTGCCCTTAAATTCCAGGAAGCAAGTCACTGGTAATACAACACAATGACTGTTCTCCCTCTGCAACCAATTGCTGTTTAACTAATGATTTTAAGTAGAAAATAGCCACAGTCACCTCTTATTATGTCTTTGAATAAACAGTGGCTGTTCCTGAATGCTTCGTTATCAAGGAGGATGTAGTCACTACTTTTTTTTTTCTAGGTGTTTGCAACTGCTAAGGATGGCGTAGCTCTGGGCAGGCAGGTGGGACCCATTGGGTTATGGCCATTGACCTTTGCTTCTGTGATGGAGGGGCATGTGCCTCTGCTGCCCAGTATGGACCAATGCACTGAGCTGACATCAGTGAGGTAAGATGTGCAACTTAGTGAAGGAACTCTTTAAACCGGTGGCAAATAGCTGTGGTGTCAACTCGTGGACAAGGAGGTCATTCACCCTGTCTGTAGATGCCACCCTTAGTTGGTGTGGCATCTACAAACTCCAAAACCCTGCTCTACTTAAGTGGAAAGTCTATGCCCCATATGCAAACAGGGCTCGGCTGGTCTCTTAAAGCAGAATGTTATGCCAAATAAGTAATAGTAAGCATAAGGAAATCTCATGAGTGAGAGGGGAGGAATAAAATTAAATAAGACTCCTTATAAAAGTATTCTGGAAAATGAGCAGGAAAACAAAGCTATTAATATTTGTATACAGGTTTGGTGGATCTGTGCTCTTTAATGGCATTCTAGTGCTGCTGCTAAGAAATGTGTTTATTCATGGGACTTCAGTAGCTGATAGTTACCCTTGTTTTAAGATTAAAGTAAATAAATTGTAAAGGTATTTTCAGAGAGCTACTTCACTTCTAGTGTGCTTTTTGTTAGTTTAAAAAACAAAACAAAACAAGAATTCCTAGAAGAAAATATTTATGCTCATTTACGGAAACCGAAGCCTTACATTTATTTTTGTTTTGAAAGGCAAATATTTACGTGCAGCTTGAGCCTGCCCTGCAGGTGTTGTGGCTGGCCCTGCTCACCTGAATAGACCTGCTCCTGCATGCATAAGGGTTGCAGGTGGCTTACCTTACTGCATTTATCTTAGTTTCATTCTTTATTGGAGGTGTTATAGGTTGGTCTTTCTTATGAAAATGTGTTTCTGGCTTGAATTAATCTAGAGGAACTGTGAAAGAAAGGGGGGCTGTTTTGTTCTGTTCTTGCCTTTCATCCTATTCCCTGCTAATTGCTTCCGGCAGATTCTTTGTATTTACCTGTATTCAGCTTGCTGTTCTGGATTCCCCCTCCTCCAACAGAATATTAGCACTGATTATGCATTTCGAGTGTGTTTTATGTAAAATGGCTCCTTACTGCTATAAAAATGTTCAACTTTGGCTGTGACAAAAGTGTTGTAGCTGCTGCATTTGTGAATCCTAGTGAGCAACCCTACACCGCAGTAAAACATTGAGCAGAGGCTCTCTTTAGTTGTGTGAGGCACTATTAACGACTGTATGAGCAGTCAGTGCAGCTGGAGCAGCCTAACCCTTAACACCCCAGTTACTCAATGGTTGATGATCACAGCAGTTGTGCCCCTGGTTCTCCCTTCTGTCCTTGGCCTTGTTAGTTGCTGATACTTTCTCTGTTTGATCAGGGATCATAATGACAGCTTCTCCTTCATCTGCATCTCCTGTTCTCGTTGCTCTCCAGGAGCTTGAGATGCACCCAACATGTGCAGTGTTGTACTGGGAAAGAGAGACCTGAGCCACGTGGGGTCTGGGAGCTGCTGGCTTAGGCAAAGGCACAAAGCAGAGCAGCTGAGGCTTTTTCCTCACTCTTGTCTGCCAGCACCTTCTGAGGATGAATCTGACATGACTTCTGCACTGAAGAACAGCAAATGCAGGAGCTGCTCCCAGAGCCTTCCTTGAAGCATTTCTTTAGACAAACCACGGGTGCCCAATGTGCACTGCTGAGTTGCTTTGTTCAAACTACTTAGAAGTTTGTATTTTGTAAGAAAATCAAAGCACTTGGTATTTTTCCTCAAGATCTGTTAGGAGATACTCTGTTTTCCATGCTGCTTCACTGGACACAAATCCCAAATTTCTCCATGGCAATTTTAATCACCTAAAACTTGGAACACAATGTTCCTGTCACGAGGTGTGTTTCAGGCAGTTGCTACTTCAGGCCTTATTTTGCTAACTTTCAGTGGAGGGGAACACAAACGATCCATGTTAACTGGCAGTAGAGGCTAGAGATGGGAAACTTTGGCCCCCATGAATGAAAGTATTATTCATGGAGAGAGGTGTAATCCCCAAAATCCAGGCTGGGAGAGCTGCTGCTCAACTGAGGCCACTTTTCAAGCCTGTAAGGCAGCTGCTTTCCTTGTAAACTGAGGACCTGGGTATAAATACATTTTACTGCACCTTTAAAGTACAAAAGAAAACAGATGGCTGAAAGTACTGTGCTCTCTTGTCAGCTCTCACCCTCTTTATGTGGACTTGTTCCAGCCCTCCCAGTCTTTGTAGGTTTTAAGATGGTTATTAATCTTTATTTCCATCCCCCTCTTTTCAAGGGGCCTTTGCCTATCTCTGTCCAGACAATGCTACTGCAACCTGACTCAAAACCTGATGATGATGCTGACCTGAGATTAGCTATTGTTTGGAAACCCTCGTAATTAGTCAGGGTGTATCTATTCAACTGGAAGCCACAGATCTCATGCAGGAGCTGAGGGGCTGAACAGTTCACTGGGCAGGCAGTGCAGAGCAGCTCAGGTGGCTGTAGGAAAAAGCATCAGGAGATGCACGTCAAAAACCTGTCACTTGTGGAGGATGTCCTCGGGAAAGGCATGTTGTCATGCCCTGGCATCTGTCTGCATGGACCAGGGTGCTTAGCTGTAGTATCTCGAATTGCAGAAGCAGATAAAACAGTGGGGGCTGAGTTAAAAATCAAAAGCTTTAAGTGAAATAAAATGCTGGTTGGTTGTATCTGTTTTCTTTTTCTACAAAATGTGGGAGCTGGCAGGGTGCTGTAGAAACCTTACATATGTTTCAAGTCCTGTGCTTCAGAAAATGTATTGTGCTGGCAAAATAGGACAGCAGAAGGAAGGCCAAGAAAGGTGAAATATTGATGCTGTGTGCTGCAGCTTGTGGAAGTAGAGGAGGAGGTGTTTGATTTGAATATAACTTGTTTGCAGGATGTCTGAGCCTGCAGATCAGTTCCAGCTAGGGAAGAGGGAAAATTTCTGCTGAATGGAAGGAATAAAGTGAGTCCAGCTGAAACCTCCCTGAACTTAGGGAGTTACTTGCTACCTTTCAGCTCCTGTGATTTGGCAATATTCCATTCTGCCTGCAGTTTCTTCAGTGTCACTGGGTTTTGTAAAATCCTCCTTAATCCAACACAGAAATATTTTATGCGACTGCATCCAGTGCAGTTCTGTTTTGCTTGATTTAAATGAGTAAGTTAAATCTCAGTCTAGACGGAGTGCTCTCTAGCTCTAGTGAGTCTTGCACCTGAGGAGATGCATCATCTATGGGTATGTTTCTCATTTTCCCGATGAGCCCAGGGGGATCTGCACCCCCAGTAAAATTCCTATCTGCACGGAACTGCCTTCCACTCCTGATTTATTCCTCAATAAAACACATAACGAGAAGGAGAAAATGTTTAATTGTATAACTGCTGTGACTTTTGTGAGGTACATTTCTGGTGGTTATTTATGCACTTGTCTTCTTTTAAAGAAGTATAAAGACCCATTACTTTCATTTACAGAGGGAAGAGCGAAAGAAGAGGGAAAATCAAAATTGGTGAAGGACAAGAAGTAAACCTTGAACTAGTGTGGTTTCTGAAGAAGGTCTTTGGTTAAAAGATCCACTAAAATTATGAAGAATTTCAGACTGAATTTCAGATCTTAAGGGCTCCCCAGAAAAAGATCCCTTCTGCCTCCTAGCAGACCAAGCCAGAAAACAACCTCCAATTGGGGCTGTTTGATTTTGAATGTTGGAAAGCACTTTTTTCAAAGCAGTAGCAAGTGAAATATTCTTTTATGTTGCCTGTGAAATATCTGATTCTGACTACTTCTTTAATTTATTTCACCTTTTCAAAATTGCACTGTGGTTTTCCTTTAAGATAGCTTAGGGGCTGAACATAGTGCTGGATCCAAGGCATGCAGGCCTGTCTTCAGGTTTCTGCTGTAAGGTTTCTACTTGCTACCTTGTTCTAGTGGCGACAGGCATTTTGGCAGCATCTTAAATGCTCAAGTGGTGCATGCAAGATAAGAAGACTCCAGGATAATTAGAAGGAGTGGGCTATTGGGAAGTTGGCATTATTTACTTAATTACATCATAAGCACGCTTCCTTATCTTTTCTATTGCCTGTGTAATGATGTAGCTCTGAAGCTTGTTCTTTAGGGGTGAAAACTGAGGAGCAAAGTTAAGCTTGTTGTTGAGCTCCAATTTAGTCTCATTACTGATAAAGTGTTTATTACAGAATGGGAGTCAGTGCTGACATGTGCTTTGTTCTGCACAGGGCTCTTGCCTCAGGGGCTATCTAGGCTTCAAAAGAGCGGGTGTGTGGTAATGCAAAGACGTGCCTACATATCTGCACACAGGGTTGATAGAAGAGCACCGTGCTCAGTAGAGCTGTAGAGCTGTACTTACTACCAAGGCTTACAGCACTGCTGCCTGCCCATTCGGTTGCAACCAAACCTTATGATGAAAGCCCAGCCTGACTTCTAAACAATGCGGGTGTTCAGTCAGTCTCAAGAAAGAAAGCATTTTTTTGTTGAACTCCATGAATAGAAAAGCAGTTACACTTCTATTAAAATGGCTTTTGACTTTGTAGAAAGTGAAACTTACCATTATCCGACGTTTGGCCTCCACCTACGGTATGTTAATCAAAGAAACATAGAAGCTTTGTGCATCGTTGATAGCTATCTCTATAGGAAATCCAGTGTTGTAGTAAACCATCTGGTTCTTGCTTTTCCCAATTGTTCCATTTCTCTTTCAATTCCAGGATTTCCTTGTTCCAAATACTTCTTCACAGACCCAAGCGCCTTTTTCTTTTTTTCCCTGTGAAAGAAAATTTCAATGAAACAGAGATGAACCAAGGAGGAAAATGACTTTCCATTTACTTTTTATGGGTTTTAATAGCTTGCTTTCCTTTAATATTTCTGTTGCTTTGTTGTTGCTTTTAATTGAGACAGTGCCTAGGAGCCAGACCACCATTTGGATTATGCAAACATAAAGCAAAGGCTGATCTCTATGCTGCAGATCATTAATCTGAATTTAACTGACCGATCACGCTTTCAGAGGTCATTTTGGTTTGTTTTTCAAACCTGCCTGTTGTCTCAAATTACCCAAACGTCACACTGTTGGGGCCCTGTCCTTATTCTGATGGGGAACACGCGAGCTGCTACCGCGCTTTCAGATGCTGAGGTGACTGCCTGCTGACAACCGGTTCCTCAGTGAAAATGTTCTGAGATGCATACTTTTCCAGCGAGATCTTGGCTGCACGAGAAGAAAGCATAGGAGTTGTCAGCAAGTAGCTGTGGGAAAATTCTGAGCTAAGAGGGCTTCTGCCATGTGTGCAGGGAGTGAAGTTCTAGATGGGCTTACGGTAGGGCTGCGGGAGCTGAGAGGAGCTGTTCAGCTTTGGGATCTTCTCCTTTTTCCCAGGGAGTCAGACAGAAGGAAACTTTAGAAATGGAGTACATTTACTTTTTGTGTCTTTATTTTTGAAGCTCTCAGTAACGTTCATCACTTCAAAATGCAGAAAAATGATCATCACAAACGACCATTTCTCTTGAATTGTTGAAATCTCTAAGATGCGGCAGTGGCTCCCGACCTTCCGCTATCCTCTGTAGTGTACAGAGAACCCAGGAGTTCTGTGTGACCACTCCATCAGCATTTTTCTAGAGAATGCAAATGCCTTGTCCAAAACCTATGGAGGACAGAAGCTCAGAATGAGGTAGAAATGATCACCGTCTTAAAACAGTGCTGCTGACACCTCCCCCTCCCATACAAAGCAGACAAATAATGGCGCTGAGTAAGCTGACTGCGAGACTGCCAGTAAAGGTTGCACAGCAGTCGCCTTTCTCTGCTCCCAACAAATGAGGAAAACGGATGTCTTGGCAAGGATTTTTCCCATCTGTCTGGGTCTCAAGTGCAGAAGCAGCACTTCTCAAGGAAGAAAAAGATTGCATATTTTTCTATGTGAGTAGCAGCCGCCTGCAGGGTGGCTGGTTTGTTTGTTCCCTCTGTCCCCTGACTTCTGAAACATGTTCAGCATGTTGAACTCAGTTTCTCACCTCTCATCCAACATGGAGTGGAGTTAAAGAACAAGATCAAATTAACATGTTGGGGTTACTGCCGTGCATTTCAATTAATAAGTTCACTCCTTTAGTCCACTCTGAGGCATACAGTTTGGCTATATGTTTGTTTTGCCAAACGATACTACGAGCAAAATGATCCTTCTGTGATGTGTGTGGCTTACCAGAGTAAATTGTGGTAGTAAAGATGATGGAAAGACAAATCCAATTAAAATCCTTCTTAAAATAAAAATGCTAAAGAGATCCTTGTCAGCTGTGTTTAAGGAAGAAAAGCAAACACAGAGTCTTAATCCCCTCTCCTCTGAAGGACAACATTGTGCTGAAAGGGCTGACTGCTGTTCTACATACTGCGTGTTTTTATTTTGTGCCCTTTCCTAGCAGTGAGGAAAGAAAATAAGGTGCAACCTACATGCTGTCCAGATCTGCTGTAAGGCATTTTCCTCCTTTTGCTGCATAATGAACAGGCGCTCTATGTCACTGCTTCAAAACAGGTTATTTATTCTTCATGTTGAATTCCCCTTTCATTTGCTGAAGGACACAATCCTTGCAACCTGAACAGGCAACAGTGAGAGCAAGCACTGCTATTGGAATGTGAAATCACTTGCACTAAGCCTGGCAAAAAATCAGGGGTGGTACTAGGAACCAAGTTTTTAGCTGGAAAGACCCATCCAACTTGCTCTGCTCAAGGAGGAGCTGGTCAGAGGAGTCATGGTGGTCAGATGCTTACATGGTGAGGAAAGTGTTAGTACATGAATGTGAAGAGAGCTGAGTGAACTTGGAGAAGAGCAGGGGTAGGTGGCTGACTTGTCAACCTTGATGAATTGGCTTCACTGTTCAGAAGGTGCATGGAAGGAAGCTGAAAGGCTGCAACAATCATGGAAAAAGTGTGCTTAAGTTATAGAAACACACTCAAATTGTTATGGCAGCTGTAGAGCAGCAGGCAGTCAGAGTTGCCTGGTTCTTCGGGCTGGAAAATGTTTGTACCAGACTTTGAGCAGGTAGGTGGATGTTCTTGGGGTCAAACTGCAGGCACAGATCCTGTAATTGGTGCCCGCTCATCAGATGAGGGCCACTCCTGTTGTCACATGAAACCAACCTCGCCTGATGGTTGCTTCTGAACTGCAAGTAGGGAAAGGGGCGCTTGAACCACCCCACTTAAACCATAAATGTCTTACAGTCTGCTTAGCAGGCTGGAAGATGAGTGGTTGAGCATTACTCCAAAGGTCATTCCCCTTCGGGGCCTGGAGGAGCAGTCTGGGCCATGTGTCCTTGCTCTGTAAACTACCTCACCTTCCGTAGGAGTGTGAAGGATCTTGCTTTGCTATGGGTTCTTGAATTGGCTCAAGTAGAATGGTGCAAGCATTCCTTTCAGAAATCCATTTCACAACTAGAAATCTGTTATTCCAGTGTATTCTAGAGTATTTGGAAAGTGAAGTTAGAGGCATCCTATTAAGGTTTGGTTGGAGATATTGATGGTACTGATGGTGCTTGTTAAAAAACTGATGCCAAAGTTGAGGTGATCTGTATGACCTTTATTTGAGGTCCAATCACTTAAACAATAAAAGCTTTTCTCCCTGCTACTTCTTCTATAGTCACACCCTTTGTGTTTCCATTTCATGCTGCGTGGTCTCAGGCCTTACTTTGTGCAGTCTGTCCTCTTCAGCCCTGAGTTGCATGTTTACTTTTCTGTATGGCTCCCTGATGGTGCTGTTATGTAGGTGCCCACACCACGTTCATCTCTCTAGTGAGGAGAGGCTGTGTTCTACAAGGAGCAGAGAGGGATGAAATTCGTTCAGCATTGTTCAGGGCAGGAATTGGTTTGCTTGCCAACAAGCATCTCATTTGAGCCTCCTTTTTTTATTGCTGTTGTTCATGCTTGCTATTTCAGCAAAGTAAGCAAAAAAAAATGTTCAGTGTAATTCATTGGAATTGGTGGAAGATGAAGTGATCTGTTTGTGAAGCTTAGGGTTAAATAAGGCGATAAGCATTTTGTGGGAACTGCAGTGCTTTCAGGTGCATTCTGAAGTTATGGGAACTTTTTGATTTTTTTTTTTTAAACAGAAGGCTGTGATTTTTCTTTCCACTAGCTGCATTCACTATGTCAGCAGTGTGTTATGACTTCTGCAACAAATACAGCAGGGCCGTTTGAGATTTATTAGAGTAAAACCCCTGACTAATACTTAATTTACTGGCAATGAATGAGGCAGTGGGTTTGTGTGGAGAAAAAAAGTGATGAAATGCACGTGGGTGAAGGCTAAAGCTAAGAAATTCAGGTATAAAGGCTGTTTGTACAGGCTTAATTCAGGCTACTTGACTTTGTAACTGAAATGTTCTTTTAAGCTGTAATCATTTTTGGTGCCCCAAGTGCTGGAGTGAGATGTGCCAGAGAAGGTCTGGAGTGTGTGTTTGTGTACATACATACCTATATACACATACGCTCAAAATGTATATGTTATTCTTAATCCCATGTGTAGTGGTTCTTCTTCTTCAATCAAATTGTGTCCGTGCTTAGAGATCTGAGGTGAGAGGGACCTGGGCTACCTTTGTATTCCCAAGAGCTGCAAGCAAGCAGACTGATGCTTCTTGATATCATTTGTTATCTTCTCCAAGCAGCATGTGTGATAGCAGACAATATAGCTGGGTCAACAAGATCTGTCACCGAAACATCACTTCTTCAAAGCAGAAAAGCAGTTTTGGTGGCTGCTTGTGTTATTTCATCTCATTCAATCTCAAAGAAGCAGCTGTCAGCATGTGAACTGCTGATGCATGATGCTTAGTTCTGGTGGTAACTACTTTGCCCAAGGTGAGGAGAGGAAATTGAAGATTCATTTTCTGAGTCTTCTGCTTAGAAGCATGAAGTTCGTGTTTCCAAGTCGGGTACGTATGGGCACTTCAGGCTTGTCCCACGTGCCTTGCAGTGCAGTAAGTATTGCTGATGCTCTGCAAGTAGCATGCAGATCCCAGGCCATGCTGTGAGCTCCCAGAGCAAGCTGTTGCTGAGTACTGCTAGTTTGGTGCTCAGCAGAGAAGCTGGCTTGAATATTGGCAGCATTTGGCAGCGTCTTTACTGCCTGTTACAGAGCAGCCCACATTATAACACAGGCAATTAGAACAAACAGATGCAGGCTCTGAAATAAGCTTCTGTACCATGCCATTGCTTGAAACTTTCTGTTGTGAGCTGTTGCTTTGGGCCTCTCTCAACATATTTGCAAATAGTGAGCAATTTTAGAGAGTCTGATTGGGATTGAGTAGTTCAGCAATCAGAGCTCAGTATGCATTGGGCCATGACCACACTCTTTGACACATCACTTTGGGTGGCAGTGCAAAAGCTGGAGGCATGTGTCATCACTTGGGTTCCAACTATATTCTGCTGAATGAGCTGCCTAGGGATAATTACCACACAAATCTTGTAGAAAAATTTGCAGCCTCGTGTTATCTGCAGCACTGCGGATGGGACATTTGCCACCCACCAAGCCTTTAGCAGTGCCATGGGTTAGAAGGAGGTAAGTTGTGAGCTGTAAGAGGTCATAAAGAACCTAAGGAACAGCAGATGTGAGTTAATGTTAAAGTAAAATAAGCAGAAAAGTTAAAAGCTAAAGAGAAATAAAGCTTTGGCTCTGTGTTGGATTTGCATGTATTAGCAGGAGCCCTCACGTTCTGATGTAAGTGAAGATTTAGCCATGGGTGGCAAAGCAGAGCCTGGGGGAGGTAACAGCTCCTGGAGCCACTCATCCCATGTGTGCCAGGAGCCCCCTGGGTTCTGCCAGTGGGCAGACAGATGTCAGCCCACTCCTGCATTAGCACATGGGCTCAACTGAGCAGGGCCAGCTTGGTCCTGCAATAAATATTTTCACATTTGGCAATAAATGAGCTATAGAAGTTGGCACGTAACCAGAGAGCAGCTTCAGGCACCAACAGGGCTCTACTTGGATAGTCTATAGGAGAATGGTGCTCCAGCTAGTGCGAGCACTGTAGTTGTACACAGGATGGAATCACTTGATGATGGCAGTAATGATCAGAAAATCATCGTCAGAAGCTTCTGCTGCCTATGTAAACATAGCCCACAGCTGTGACTGTGTCTTTTGCCTCATGATACACTAGTTCACACTTGCTCTATCCCATACCAAGGGCAGAAAAAAAGATTACAGATTGTGAGCTTTCTTCTTTGCACCAGCTTTGAAGCCAAATATGTGACATTTCCTCCTTGAGATAAGCATTATGAACAAGCTTTTTGGAGATAAGGCACGACAGGCACCAAACATTTAAATTTATTCCACTTACAGTGTGAGGAAAAGCTTACAATTCCTCTCAGGGATTTGAAATGATGATTAGATGATGTTGGTAAGGCATATTTCTACAGTTCTAATTGAAAGCTCACTGCAACTTGTATTTTGTTTTTGGCAATGATGCGTCTGCTCTTTGAATTAGAAGTTGTAAATGTCACTTGGATTTGAGGGAGGAGGACAAATAATCTAAATAGTTTGGTTGTAAGATGCTTGGGTGCACAGTCATCTAGATATGAAATTCCTAGGAGAAGGAGCACGAACTTAGAGATGTAGAGGGATATAAAAACTGTCAGAGTCAGCAGGACAGTGACTGATCTCATCACTTGCCCTCCTGACTGTTGATGCCTGTGTTCCCTCTACTGCAAGAGGTGAGCTGGGAACCCTGAATGATTCTCAGTGTAAGCAGTGATTTGCACTGGTCTTGAGCATTAGGGCACATATGCATCAAGAAGCAAAAGCTCATTCTGGAGGGCAAAAACCACAAGCTCCTCCAGTTTTGTCTTATGCAAACATGTGAGTAACAGCTCTAGCTCTTTACCAAACTGGACCTCTTGGACCAAGTAGGCAATCGAAGACTTAAGTCTCTAAATCTCAAATTGAGTAAACCAGTTTGGACTTCAGTGGCCAGGATGTTTGCTACCCCTGCTCTGTGCAAAAATGTATGCCATGGCTGAGGTGGGTAAGGGCCTTAGCCAGCAAACTCCATCATTCAAACACCATGTGTGACAGTGGGGTAGCTGCCTTCAGCCACTCACTCCTGGTTCTGTTTCTCCCAGCTGCCACAAATGATTTTCCATGTGATATTAAGAGGTTGAAGTGCTTAAACATTAGTGGAGGGGACTTCTGTCCAAGGTGATAGTAGATTTTTAGTGCCCAGTCTCATGAGATGAATGACCACTGATGAAGTAAATCGTGGTTTCAACTGTCAGGGCTGTAACTGCAGACAAAAGGACTAGTTCAGACTTGTGTTTGAAAAGAAAAAACAAAATCCCAACTATAAGCTTTTATTGAAACCAAATGTGCTTGTAAAAGGCAGGAGTTACTTAAGAAGATGCATACTTAAGTGTGCATAGTTAAGTGCCAGTTGTCAGCTCTTCATTTGAAACCCTATAAATAACTCCTCATCCATTTCTGTGTTGCGAGACGTGCATGTGATAGTAAGAGATTATCTTGGACATGCCTTCCTCTCAGCACCCATCCAATTCTGCTTCAGGAGGATCAATTCATTCCCTTTCTAGTTTGTTTTCCCCTGGCTTACTGCAGTGCTATCAAATAGTCAGAATTCTTCCTGCTGACGATTTGCCAAAGGATAATTGCTTTCAGCACTGGGATAAACATGAAAACACTACTTGTAATGTCCTAAGCCGTTCATTGGCATGTGAGTTTTTGTTTTTGTTGGTTTAGTTTTCAGTCCACCAATCACAGCAAGTTACATCCCTCAATAAACATCTCACCAGTATACCAATTACAGTCATCCAAGTAGAAATGTGTACGTGCTGTTTGCTAACAAAAGAAGAGCACGCCATTTGGCAGCAAAAGCTTTCAAAGCTCAACAAGCTTCTGACATATAGTTGTATACATATATGATTTGGAAAAAAAAAAAAAAAAAAGTTCTGTAAACTATTTTCTTTAATCTTGACCAATAATGAAAACCATTTGTTTACAGAAACTCCTGTGCTGCAGCACGAGAGGCTCGCCTGGAATGCTGTGGCTTGGGAGGAGGATGAGCTCATGGCACAGACGGGGAGGTGAGCACCAGACAGCATGCTGCAGCCAAACAGTGCAAGCAAGTAATGGTGGTATTTGGTTTTCTCACATGCAGAAACAGCTTTTGAGAGCTTCGTGCTCCAGCAGCTCTGCTGCAGAGTGTGCCACCCATGGGAGATGGTATGAGGAACTGACACCTGGCCTTGACATGGACCAGTTCCAGGGGAATTCAGCTTGTGAGAGCACTAATTGCTGCACAGATTGGGCCCAGGGCTTGTACCAGTTCAGCTTGGGGTCTGGGATTCCAAAGAGTATTTCCCTTGCTGGGTCAATGAATGTTTGTCATGTTTATGTCAGTACAAGGCAGAACGTGGTGCTAGGGGCTCTCTCCAGTGGTATGCCCTGTGCAGTGCCTGGTTTTCTGCTCCTCCATCTCGCCTCAGATATGTAGGGCCATGCATGGCCATCTGATTTCAAGAATGGGAACAAGAGCTGTTGTGTATATTGCTCTGAGCCATTCGGTCTTGATTAGAACAGCAGTTAATGTGAAATTGATGCACTGTAGTTCATGGGTCCAAATAAACCTGCTTCACTGCTGTTTGGTTGCAGAAAGTTAATCTGGGCAGACGTTGAACAGAAGGTCATGTCTTTACTGCAAATATGAAAATGTCACCTATTGGAGCACTGTGGAGAGCTATGGCTCCCATTTTCCAGAGGTCTGTCACTGGAGACAATAATGTGTGCAGTTGCATCTGAGACCAATTTTAAAGGAAAAATGTTAGCAGCAGATAAAAGAAGAGGTGACAGTGTGTTGCCTTATCAGCCACCCTGGCTGCACCTGTATGAACTTGTGATTGCCCTTGCATGGAACAAATGAGAAATGAACCTGGAACGCTGCTTCCCAGTCTTTCCCTGGATCAGTCCCCTACTTCTGCAGGGACCACCTGCCTTAGGAGGAGTGAATCCACTACCTGTGCCAGATCTTCCTTCATATGTGCAAACAGACAGCCTGATAAGAGAAGCAAAAGGAAGGCAGAGGAGTTGGTAGCTTGTGCATCTCAGAGCTGTTATGCCACAAGCACTAGACTTTGCAAAAGGGCTGCTGGAAAGCACAATAATCTCAGCCTCTTCCTTTATGTCCTCACAAGGTAATGCAGCATGCAGTCTGGCTTCCTGGTTACTGACATGCCTGACAAGTGGGACCTGGCTTCTGACCCCACCTTCTCCTTCCTGTCCTGTGGCCATTTGCTGTGGAATTGGACAGGGCTTACAGGAGAGAAGCTGGGAGAAGTCTGCCAGGGAACCTAACAGCAGGTGCAAGCCTTGGGAGCGAGGATGAGAAGTTGCCCTTCGCCACACAGTGCATTTTTCAAATGTGCTAAGTGATTTACACTGGATGAGATTGGGATTTGTGACCCAGTGGCCCTGGCAGTGCTCTGACATGTGTGTATGGACAAAGAAGGCGGTTTCAGTACTTCTGCTTTAGTTTGCCAGCGGTGATAAACTCATAGTTGTGTATAAACACTTTTTTTTTCTTTGTTGGACAGATGACAGAGAAAAAGATTCTGCATTTGGAACAGCAGTGCAAGTCATTTTCTGGTGACACTGCTTTTCTAAGCGTGCTTTTCTAAGTGTGGAAACTGTGGAGGTCAGATGAGTGCCTTCCTGCTTTTGCAATACCAGGAGGTTTCAGTTTACTGAATCGTTTCCCTGGGAGACAACACAAGGCGTTTGACAGCTTTGTTACAGTAGTTGCTTGGAGGTGACTTTCTCCAAATCATTTTTGTAATAAACAAAAAATCCTGCTTTGTCTCAAATTAATCCTTTTGACAAGAATTGATTTTTTTTTTTTTTTGTAAATTTGTTGTAAATTTAGTTGTAAATTTTTTCTGAATTTGGAAGGAGACATTTTGATATTTTTGAGTGGAAAAACAATGGCCACAATTACTTTTGTTTTGATGCTTGACCTTATTATAAAGAACCCTGAAACAATTAAAAAAAATTTTTGTTATACTCAAAACTTAAATAATACAGTGTGGGGGAAAAGGGTTATGTTTTTCTCAGATTTCTTTATTTTTGCATTCTTTTTTTTCTTCAGACTCATTCTTTTGAAACCTCAAATATTTCTCCTACATAGTATGCAGCCCTATTATTCCCCTGTATGTATCTAGCCCAGTTTATAATGGACTCAGTAGAAAAACTTTCTTTAACAACAGATAATCTTAAAAATGTTTTCCAAGGAGGGAAGGAAATCTGACCCAGTCAGCCCTCCCATGGAATTACTCAAAGCAGAGGCCTTTTCTGCGTGATGTGAATTTCTGCCTTCTTGACGATCCTTTCCAGAAAGCATTCTTTAGAGAAATGGATGGTGCCTCTGATCAGAGGGATCTGGATATGTGAAGGCCGTGGGATGGTAGATGTGAAGGATAGAATGTGCATGTTAGTAGGCTGGTGCATCTTTGAGATCTTGTAGTGGACACAGGACATTCTAGGGCTTTCCATTGATTTAGGGTCACCAAGTGGGACTGAAATCTCCACCTGCCTGCTCTTTATCCTCAGCAATGCTAGGTGGTCTGAAGGCACCAGTGGGAGAGGAGTTTTTAGTAATCCTGATGAGATCTCAGCAGTGAGAATTTGTTGTTGGGAGAGAAAAGTGGTTGAACTCCTCTGCGCTCCCACCTCCTGCAGGATTTCAAGAGCTCTCCTTTCTCTCTGCTTTGGTGCTGTGTTCTCCTGCTTTCTTCCTTCACTGTTTTATCCTTCCTGTTCTTATCACCACCCCACAAATTCTGCTGCTTTTGTTTTGAGTGCCAGCAGTTAATGAGGACAGTCCCATAGCATAGGGCTTACTGTGAACAGAACCTCAGCAAATCTATTCCTAAAAGCATGGGCTAGTTTTGTTTTGTTTTTGATTACTGTTTGTTCAGCACTGAAGCTCTTAAATTTCCAGCTTAAACTTTTGGAGGTATGTCAGAGATGTGCACATGATGGTAGGACTGATGAGAGCATCTCAAAGGATTTGCGCTGGGAACACAGCACAGGCTGAGCTGAGAGAAGCTTTCCGTAGTGATGCTCTCATGCTTTCTCTAACTCTTCAGAGAGTGGTTCTCACCCTTTCTGTAATTGAAACAAGCTGACCAGAGAGGTGCCTTGAGGCAGGTCAGCATGCCTACTGTTATTTGAGGGATGTGCTTTGCCTGACCATTTAGCCCTGTACAGGTTTTCTCTGCTCTGTTATTGCCCTTCCTGCTGGGAGGAAGCAAGTTCATTCAAGAGAAAGCACCAGGGCGGGTTGTGGGAGAGGAAGCATGTTCCTGACAAGGAGGAAGAACGTAGGGTGGAGACCGAGGCTTTGTGCAAAGACCTCTTGGAAGTCCCTTGATCATCCTCTTTCACAATTCTTAGTGCCTCCTGCATGATTCCAGGAAGTCCTTAACTCTTACCTAGTTCCCTAACTACTGCCCTCAGTAAGAAAAATAACACTTAAACCAAGTGCTAGCAGGTCTGCAGAAACACTGAGTCTGTGCTGGCTTAACTCCAGCAGCCAAGGACCACCTCTTGAAGGCTGGCCATCACAGAGTAGCCCTGTAAGCTAAGCCAAGTGAGCAAATCCGTGTGGAATGGCTCCAGCGCTGCAAAGACTGCTTCATGTTTCTTTAAGCTCAAAAGCTGGAGAATTCAGAGCCAGTACTAAATATTTGTTCCACTTTCAAAGCTGAGCATCAGGGAGCCATTCCTTAAATAGTGAATGTCTGTTCTCTGAGCACAGATGTGCTTATAGCATAGCTCTTGCCAGCATTTTCCCTGCCTCATGCTTTCCACAAACGTGCATATAGATTTCTAGCCATCCATTTTTACCCTTTAAAGATGGTGTGAGGAGTAGTGGTTATTCCTTCTCTGATACAGGTGGCAATAATGTTGTACAAACTGCTTTCGGCCTTAACTGGTAAAGCTTGCCACACAAGCTATCCTATTTCTTGTCAGAAGTGATAAATTGGACACAGTTTTGGAGCAGATGAAAAGTTAGACAAAATACATTAGTCAAAGACACTTCAGCGTATCGGTTACTCTCCTGTGGTATGCGGGTAATAATTCAGTTCTTAAAACCTTCCATCTGGGTTTGGGAGGTCACCTGAGTTCCCATTGCAAGAATTTAGCACTGAGTCAGTGTGAGGTAGCAGTACTAACCTGCACGTGAATTGATAGATAGCTTTGCATTGCTGTCTGTGTAACTAGAAACAGCAGCTGGCTCCAGCCTGGAATTTGGGATCCTGGTCTCCACTAATCCATCTTCCTGGAACATTCACATCTTGCACTATCACTTCACGCAGGCAGTCAGTCCCAACTTAACTCAGCTCTATCCCTTCTTTAAATAGCGTGAGCTGGGCAAACCCAAGGTATTACCTTGGGACAGGTCACAGAGATGCAACAAGTACAAGCTGACATGTCCCAAAGGTCTGTTGTCCACTCCTGCCACCTTTGGTGGCTGTGACTTCCCAGTTTATGCAATGGGCAGGTTGTCCTGGAGCTTCATCTCTTCAAGGAAATACAATAAGACCTCGATGTAAGGAGTCAAGTCTTTCTATACCTCCTGCATCAACTTCCTTCCCCAACCAAGGGTTGGGGAAAGGCAAGGGTGAAAGTTTTCAGTGTTTTGACCAGATTTTCTACTACCAGTTTTTTGTTCATTTGCTTTCAGCAACTCTGCTTTTGCTTCTGAGTAGAAATTTTATTTCTAGCCCAGGAGAGAGGACAGTATGTAGAGGAAGTCAGAACGGCCAAGACAAAACTACAGAAATTCCTACTGCTGAGATCTCTACTTCGTGCCCGTTTACCAAACTTTTATATCCATCATAGTTCAGACAGCAATAATAAGGTCAGGCATCAAGATGTTGAAGCCAATAGCAGCCAGCTGAGTCAAATAAAGAAGGATGGAAGGAGCGACTCAAATGGTTGAAGAGCATGAGATAAGCTGATAAATTCTGGGGTAAAATGCAGGATAGGTGATATATAGGGGTTAAAAGAAGATAATAAAATTAAT